CCCCTATGCGCCCACTCTCCTTACCCTGCACCCGCTCTCCTTACCCTGCCCCCTATGCGCCCACTCTCCTTACCCTGCACCTGCTCTCCTTACCCTGCCCCCTATGCGCCCACTCTCCTTACCCTGCACCTGCTCTCCTTACTCTGCCCCCTATGCGCCCACTCTCCTTACCCTGTGCCCACTCTCCTTACTCTGCGCCCACTCTCCTTACCATGTGCCCACTCTCCTTACCCTGTGCCCACTCTCCTTACCCTGTGCCCACTCTCCTTACCCTGCGCCCACTCTCCTTACCCTGCGCCCACTCTCCTTACTCTGCGCCCACTCTCCTTACCCTGTGCCCACTCTCCTTACCCTGCGCCCACTCTCCTTACCCTGCGCCCATGTACCCTTTCTCGTTACTCTGCGCCCACTCTCCTTAGCCTGCACCCAAGCACCCGCTCTCCTTACCCTGCACCCACTCTCCTTACCCTGCACCCAATCTCGTTACTCTGCGCCCACTCTCCTTACTCTGCGCCCACTCTCCTTACTCTGCGCCCACCTGTTACTCTGCGCCCACTCTCGGTACTCTGCGTCCATGTACCCGCTCTCGTTACTCTGTAACGACTTGTTACTCTGCGTCCATGTACCCACTCCCCTTACTCTGCGTCCATGCGCCCACTCTCGGTACTCTGCGTCCATGCGCCCACTCTCGGTACTCTGTACCCACTTGTTATTCTGCACCCACTCCCCCTACTCTGCGTCTATGTGCCCACTCCCCTTACTCTGTGGCCACTCTCTTTACTCTGCATCCATGTGCCCATTCTCGGTACTCTGCACCCACTCTCGTTACGCTGCGCCCATGTACCCACTCTCGTTACTCTATACCCACTTGTTACTCTGCGTCCATGTGCCCACTCTCCTTAGTCTGCGTCCATGTGCCCACTCTCCTTACCCTGCCCCCCCCCCTTGTTATGTTGTATCCCTCTGCCCTAATTATCGGCTGCTCCTGCCAACAGCACAGTTTCCTTTCTTACAACGGCAACGAGAAGATCAGGTAACTTCCTTGAGCCTCGTCATCAAATGTACCTGCGGTATCAGCGCACTGGATGCCGTACCGCCGTCCTGTACACCATTGTGTTCCCCCTGTAAATATATAGACCCGCCTCCCATCCCTATCTGGAGATTGTTGGCTCCAGCGGGAGCGTACAGAGGGGCGTCGGAGCGCTAGTTAGAGGCTCCGCCCACAGCCATTAGCGTTATGGGGAGAAGAGCAGACGGTGGTCATGTGACCGCTCCTAAAAACGGGCATCTATCAATACTTTGAGATGACTCGTAGCTGCGCAGCATGCTCGGCCAGCGGTTAAGCATCGCCATGACGCGTCAGACATGCGTTTACAGATACTGCTTCCTTTACTAGCAGACTCTTCAGCACCGAACGCAATTCGTGACGGCTAAGAGGCGGCCATTTTGTTTGTATTTTAGGAACAGACCTAAAATACTTTAATACCATGAGTCCCTTCACTAGCAGGTGTCGCAACACCAAACGTCGAATGGCGTCGAATTGATATTACGGTCGCCGCCCGGGCGGTATGTCGGGTGCTTGTTGCTAGCGGAGACCACAAGGCCGGTATTCCTTTCCAGGAAAGGCGGTGACCCCATTTGGGATAAAGCCTTACAATACAAATCCCATCCATCCCTCCATGGTGGTTGTCACCCTATACCCCCCAGGATTCATCCACAATGGACCCCCCCCCCAGGGTGGCAGAACACGGTCTCCCGGCCTGCTGTGTCTGCTCATTGCCCAGAAGTCAGGGGCAGCTCTGTCCTCATTGGTCCCAGCCTGACAGGAAC